TTGACCACTTCATCTGAAAATCTATTGATTCATTTATTGACTTAAAATCAACTCAGCAAAACATCTAGCACACGGTTGAATGGACAATTGTTCGTTCTGCGGAATCTGCCTCTGAAACTGAAAAGCCTTCCATCGCACTGCCATCATTTCTGTCTCCATTCGGTCGATGACCCCTCCCTTCACGTATACGAAGTCGTGCTTTGTGGTGCAAAAAATCGGGGTGTCGTTCTTAAATTCAAGATCTTTAGAAAAATGTGATTTTGGAGCTGGCAGGTGCACCGTCTGGCCCTCGAACATCAATAGTAAATCGTGCCACTGGATAATCTGTGAATTCCATCGGAAGTCGTTCAAGAAAATTACTTCTGCCTTTTCTGCACCGACCCAGGCGAAAGTGGATGTGGCGGGATTAGTAAAAGACTTGTAAATAGTGTTTAAAGGATTAAGTAGAAATGTCTTGCCTGTATTGGCAGGGCCCTTGATTAAAATGTTGCGAAATTTTCCCCTCCCCTGTTCTAGGAGATTTCTCACAGCTTCGGTTAAAAACCGCAATTGGCACTTGGTTCCACGCAAGTAGCTGTTGAGCGCATACCACCCCCCGGCCGTCACACTCAGCGGTGCAAGGATCTTGCAGACATTTTTCCAAGATCTGAAGTCTTGTTAGTTTACTTCTTTGTAGCAGCTCATTCGCTTTCTCCATCTCCCAGGCTGTTGAAATACATTCCTCGACAACTCTGTTTCCCCTGTTCATGACGAACTCTGCTAGATCGGTCTTACCCTCAGCCTTCTGGGCGCTCGCTAGTGCGAGTAGCTCAGTTCGGTTTTGGATTTTCTTTTCAAGTATTATGTTTGACACTTCATAACAACTTAATCGTTTCGATCGCTTTCGCTTCACTGATGTCTTACTGACGTTTTTTCCCTTCATCCGAGAGCGGCCATCTTCTTGTTCTCTTTCTTCGCCCCCTTCGCCTTCCCCGCCACTTGTGCCGGTATCTGTTGCTGAATCACGAAGTTCTGCGATCGGCTGTCGTCGTTTTACTCGCGCCTGACTTGCGGCCATTGTTCTAGGTGGACCTGAGTTGCCCAAGTCTGGATGGCCAGCAGACTGGATGAAATCTTCATCTTCTTTGGTGGTGTACAACCATGCAGAATAGTAGTTGGCGTGCCGGTTAGAAAAGTGAACGTAAACACTCCACTTGTTCTTTAAATATTGCCAGATCGGTAGCCACCTCTTAATTTTGTTTAGTTTAATGACCATGTGATAATGCTTCCCCTGCCTTTTATGGTTTTCCTGGCAACAAGCCCACTGAATTAATTTAGTTTTGGGTCCCTCGCAATTCAAAACGGCCTCACAAACGGCATCTGCGAACGACTGTCTGTTCGGGAAAATACTTAGATCTGCTTGGCTATAGGTTATTAGGTACACGCTTCTCACTTTGGCTGGCTGCAATTGATCATCGGAACTTTCGGACTGTGAACTACTAGATACATACTGAGAGAGCAGCTCCATAGTTATGTTTCAACGAGCTTCGTTGACAAGTACTGATGAACAAAAATATTGAATCGTTACGGTACTTTTAATTTCCCGCGCAATAATTCGCAAAAGCATTCCTCAAACAGAATTGAAAGCCGAATTAGTTAGGGCGCGAACGTGACATTTTCACTTCGAATATGGCACTGATTTATGCATCTTTTGTTTCCATGTTAGTGCAGTATCTAAAAAGCTTAACATAACACATAATAAGTATCACTGAAAGCATTTTTCCCATTACGCCTAGGTATGTATTCACCGTAAGGTTTGCATTCTAATATAAAGTTTAACTTTTCCGCGTGCAACTGCTAGCTTAATCACCCCATTACCATATATAACACCTCCAGTCACGCTAGCAGGAATCTCAGACAATCTTGGACAGTATAAAATGGAACAATTAACCCCCACCCCCCCCTAGGCAATGATGAAGACGCGCGAAGAGCGAAGCGCGCCATTTTGGCATCATTGAAATGGGGGGGAGGGGTGGTCCAGATGTTCCATTTAATTTGTCCAAGATTGTATCCAGAGTCTGAATGTCACGGAACAATGGGAGTGGGTAATTAGACAACCATCTGTCAACTTGTTTAACGCGATTAAACACAGGTCTCTGACGCAGTCACACGCGTCATCTGTTTACGGTGTGCACTCTAAGTTAAGGTATTACCCAAGGGATATTTTCGGCAACAGGTAGAATATATAAGGATGAATTGTTAGGTTACTTTCGGAAAGAGCAGGGCACATGCTAAAGAACATTGTTTTTGCCAAAGAATATTTTACAACATGCCAGGGAGAAAAAGAATACCCGAGAAAGCCAAGGCTACAATAAGAGCGCTAAAAAGCACAACACCTCTCACGCTAGGTGAAATTGCTCTACGATGCAGAATTTCCAAAACAAGTGTGCAACGCATAGCAAACACAGAGGACAAAGTGCCAGTGAACCGTAGAAAGTTTTGTGCAAGGAAGAAAAAACTCACTCCAGAACAAGAGGCATTAATTCTTAGAAGTATAGTAGAATTGAGAGACCAAGAGGGCTCATTTTCCTCACGGCGTCTGATGGAGCGGACAAGAATTCATCATGTCACCGACCGAACCGTTAGGCGTTTACTAAATAGAAATGGTTACTTCTTCCTTCAGGCACGCAAAAAGGGACTAATGAGTCAGACAGACAAAGACCAGAGAGTGGCGTTTGCCCGAAAAATGCAAGCAGAATACTCCCCGAGTGTTTGGACAGACTCCGTTGCTTTCTACTTGGATGGTGTCTCATTCGTGCACAAGACTAATCCACTGGACCAAGCACGCGCCCCGAAAGGGAGAGTATGGAGAAAAAGATCTGAAGGCCTCACACAGGGGTGCTTGGCAAAAGGCAGTAAATCTGGAACGGGAGGAAAAGTGGGCAAGTTCATTGTAGCAATAAGTCATGGCAAAGGAGTGCTTGTTTGTGAAAGATACGAAAAACTGGATGGAAACTATTTCGCATCTTTTATTGACCAGCATTTCAACGCAATGTTTGAACGATCATGCAAAGGATTGAGTCGACTGTGGCTACAAGACGGTGATCCTTCACAAAACAGCAAAGCAGCCCGTGAGGCTATGGCCCGTTGCCATTGTGAACTTTTAAAAATCCCACCGCGAAGTCCAGACTTGAATCCGATAGAGAACATATTCCACATTGCCTCTAAGAAGTTGGCGAAAGATGCGTTTGAAAAAGGCATAACGCGTGAATCATATGAACAGTTTTGTGAAAGGGTAAAAAGAACGATTTGTAGTATTTCACAACAACTGATAGATAGAACTATACAGTCAATGAGTTCGCGCGTGGCCGACATAATACGGAATAGTGGCGAAAGACTGAAATATTGAATCTTGAGATATGTAGGGCACTTGAATTACGTTTAAATGATATTTTGACGTTTTTTCCACGGTTTACGATATATTTCATTCGATTTAAAGCGCATTTATGACGGTTTTTAACGATTTATTACGATTTTTGGCTAATTTAAATAAAATATGAGTTAATGTTTGTTATTTATTTTCAAAGGTCGAAAAATATCACTAATTCTTGGCAGAGGTACTGTTGTCCTTGAAGTCTTAAATACCGTTGTATTAAAATGCTGAACAGTTGACCGTTTTATCCTCTGATCAATAAAAAATCTGCAGAAATGTTGGAAGGTGACACCAGGGGTGGGGCATTTGCTCTCTTTCTTTGTCCCCACCCCGTGGCATTTAGACAGCTTATGTGTCTCCACCCCGGGGTATTTGACCATTTTTTTTTTAAAAATGCTTATGACCGGGGGTTAGCCGGGGGAGGGGGGGGATGGGCACTGCTGGAATTGACTGATGCATAATGCGTGAAAGTTAGTCGGTATACTATAACCATTCTTAAATCTCGTCAATGGTGAGGGTGGAGGATATGAGATGAAAACGCCCTAAAGTTTATTGTTCATTTTACCTGGCAACCTTACTGACTGCCATCAAGGAAATTGTTCAGTCTTCATTGGTTTATGTAGCCTTTCCGTGGACACACATAAGCTTAGGTGATTCCCTAGTTTTGCATTGCGCATTCCTACTGCGCACCATTTTTGAGTCATCAGCGCGCGCACATGAGTGCGCGCGCGTGCAAAATGTAACAGATTTCCCTCAAACTAAGCTCAATAGCGAGATAAATGATCGTTTTCTCTTAAACGAGTACGGTGACCCCCACTTTTTATTTTATAAATTCAATGAGAACAATATCCTAATTAACTGAGAAAAAATTGGCAGAAATCTATGGCTACTTTTTTGGCAAATGAAATAAATGCTACAGATAGAGACGTACCGGTCCCAACAGAGGAAGTCCAAATTATGTTTCCTTTGAAGGATAAAAATATTAATTAATACTGCAGGGTATTTGAAGCCATTTTTTCTGGGACGTAGATGAATAAACAATCAATGAAAGTCGAACTCTGTGTGATATAACACGTCGCAGGCGGCATTGGAAAATAGTCGCGCTTATTTGTTGCGCGCGGAGATCACCAAAAGTCACCTTAATAACCGTATTTGTCAGCATTGTGGCGTGAAAACAAGCACGGTGACCCCCCCTTTTTATTACGTTTTTAATATCTCCTTGTCGTGTAACATTAACATACCAAGTTTCATCGGAAATCTATCGTGGGTTCTTTTACCAGGGTATCACCTTAAAACTAGGACATGGAATGATAAACGTCACGGACACCCATATCACTGTGACGCCTAAGGCTAACCATCAACGAAAAAGGAATCACTGTTTTACCTCAACTGATTCAGCCGGTGGGGGACGTTCAATTTTCACTCCACGAGGCATTTCTGTTCTATGGTCGTCGTCTACCTTACCTAGTGTTGTAAGGTTTGCAGGCTTCCGAACGCCATTTTGGTTTTTATGTCAGAGCCTGCGATATTTTTGGTAGATACGTGGTGTAGAAACAGTAGTTCGCGGAAAGCTCGATCTACATGTAACATGGCGGATGATGGAGGAGGAGCCGTGCAAGAAGAGATTGGCAGAGATATGGTCGAAGGGCAACGAAAAATGTCTGAACCAGCACAACCTGCAAACAATCATCAAACACAGAAAAGCGAAGCGTCAAAGAAATCATTGAAAAAGAAAGGTGGGTAGCTGAAATCAGCCCAAGTGTTTTCTATGATATTTTTGTGTGTTAATGTATAATATAAAAGAAACCTGTGAAGTTTTTCTTTGTTATGTAGCTATTGTTAGAGTTAGGGCCTACATATTATGTTGGCTTCTTTGTTTTCTTATACTGCGTGGCTGGTGAGTGTTTCGGGTTCTTACACTGAGTATGAGCCTTTTAGATATGCAATCTTAAATGTCTCCAATTTAAAAGACTACGCGGACGCGTTTTCTTTCGATGAAATTCACCGACCTGTAAGTGTAATTCAAGTATTAATATGTCCACAATATAACACGCCTTTTCTATGTTTTATACTCTGATAAAACATGGGTTTTTGACCAATCAGAGCGCGTGCAGGGTCCTATCTATAAAGCTTAATCATACATGTAAATACAATTCTCTCAAATGTGATTGGTGCATAAACTGCTGCATTGCAAAATGCGGAGAGTCAAAGAAGTCATTGCAAAAGAAAGGTGGGCAGCTGAAATCAGCCAAGGTGTTTTTGCTATGTGTGTATAAAGTAATCTTAAAAGTGTTTAATTTCAAAGGTTTTGTCTGATTTGTCCTGAAATTGCACTGATGTTTAAGTGCAATTCAAGAATTTTTATGTTCACAAGTGTCCCTGTTGATAAGTTAATTTAAAGACATTTGTGCCAAAATTCCAAAATTCATGGCTACAAAATGAAAAAAAAGCAATGAAGATTTCCAGTCATGCAACTATTAAGCTTGCTGGATTATAGGGACAATGTGTACTAAAAGCATCTGCGGTCAAGTGTTGATTGATACCCTTTATCAACTGTCAATCAACACTCATTGGACATCTTGATCAACACTCAATGGACATCTTAATAAACACTCAATCAACAAACTTCTTGATCGACACCTGATAAGCACCCTGGTGGGGGTACCCCCTATAATGGCCTATATGGGAAGGCTCTGCCCGAAAGGGTACCTTTCTCAGGCCTCAGGTACAGTATGTAAAAGGGTAGGGATTTCACAAGTTGTGGTTTATGAAAGGGTAGGGAAATTGGTCATTTACATGTAGGTATTTAAAAGGGCCTTCAATTATAATATTTCTAATAGACTCCCCTTATGGCTGTATCAGTTTAATTATTAAGCACCACATGAAAATGAGAACAAGACTTCCTAAAAAAGGTACCATAGAGTTCCGATAGTAACGACCCCCCGAAAGTAGAAACCCCCCGAAATTAACGTCAATTTTTTGTGGCTGCTAGTAAATCCCGAAAGTAGCGATCCCCCGAAAGTAGCGATCCCCCGAAAGTAGCGACCCCCCCGAAAGTAGCGACCCCTCCCGAAAGTAGTGATCACCGCCAATAGTAAACAATGAGTTGACAGGCTTAACACGACTCCCGCTGTTTCGTGAGGTGACAAGTCTGTGACCTTTAGAGTTAAGCTCTAGCAAGGATATCTTTGAGAGATTTACCTTTCCTGTAGGAGATGAAAGGTGGTTCTCTGTATATTTCTCTCAGCAAATTGATTGATTCTCTGTTGTTACATTTGTATAAAGTAACAGGCCAAACGTTGGCCTCTTAGTAAATTGTGGCCTTCGATCTGCTCAAAGGAGGATTTTATTTTCTCAGTGGAGCCTATAGGTAGAATCTTTATGCCGTTGTGTTTGCTGGCTCTGTGGCAATTTAAGTTAAGTTAACTGGCTCATTTATGTTGCAGCTATTAAATCGCTCGGATCAGTAGCCTTCTCTATTGTCGTGATCTTTTGTTTATTAGCCTGTGGTGACCTTATGGCTAATCTTTCATGATGTATATCACGAGCGTTTATCACGGGCGGTTATGCAAGTCTCAAATCCGAATTATTTCAAGGCTATTATTGTAGTTTCTAAGAAGAGTGCACCTCCATTATTTTGTTGCATTGCTCGCATCCAACAGACGTTAGTTTTTTGTAACCGTCAGGTTACCGTGTTGGGATTCAACTCGAGGATGCTGTAATGATCTTGTTAGGCAAATGTATCAGGTTGTATTCTCAAACAAGACTCGAGTTTCGGTTCTTCAGCGAACCTCATCAGTTGTTTCTATGTTATGGGTCTCAGGAACGTTAGTCAGTGAAGACCGTTGACATTCCGTGAATAGTGAGCGTTTTGCTGTATTTATACCGGCGACATGTAAGGATCGAAAGTTCTGGTCTATTATTGGTTGTTTATATTAACCAATAGGAATGTAGGGATTTCGATCCTAAAGCAGTTGTGTTTCTTATGAAGGTCGTTTATCTGCACTAAGGATGTAAAACTCTATTTTCTCGTGTCGAGAAAAGGTAACGGAATAGTGTTAATATATCTGGAACTCTACGGTAGCGCTATTTGTAAACGATTTCTGTTCCCCGAAAGTAACGACCCCCTGAAAATAACGACCCCCCTAAAGTTACGACCCCCAAAGGCTGCTAATTCCGAAAGTAACGAGGGTCGCTACTATCGGAACTCTACGGTATGTGAAGGGGGTACCTTTTTTCAATAAAAGGTACATAAAAGGGGTACATTTTCTGCCAAAATGATATACAAAAGGGTAAGGGGTTGGACCTCGGGGCGGAGCCTCCCCCGTATCAAACTTTGTTAAGTATTCCCCTCCCCGGGATTGGCACTGCACAGACATTCACTCTATAGTTGGCACAGTACTGACTGACTTATATGTATCGACTGGTAATCAATGGTGTGTCTGAAAATTAGTTGACTCTTGACCGATTGTCGACCAACATGGCAAGCAAGTATCGATCAAGTGTCAACGGAGATGCCAATCAAGTGTCAACTGAGATGCCAATCAAGTGTCAATTGAGTGTTGATTGAGGATATCAATCGATACTCAACTGCAGATGCCATAATATGGTTACAACTTAAAGTGCACCTAACCCCAAAATATTTTTTTCGCTCAAATAAATCAATAAATGCAAATTAGTCTGTGACATCAAACCAGGAATAGACCCATGCCCCTTACTAGACCTAGTTTAAAAAGGCGGAGTGCGTTTCAAACAGTTGCAAAGATTTATTTAAGCGAAAAAAAATATTTTGGGGTTCGGTGCACTTTAAATCATGTGGTTATTCATGTTGTTTTTGTTGTAGTGGAAGTGTTGCTTAAAGCCGCTGGAGATGCCCCTATTATGGTGAAAAAGAAATGGGTAGTGGATGGATCAAGTGTCATATATTATAGAATTTATTAGGAAGTACATCAAATGCGAGCAACAAGACTCATTGGTGAGTTGACGAAGGATGGTCTTCTCATCATGTTCAAACCCGGGACCTTACAAATTGATCAAAATCAAATATCAAAAACCTAAGTGATCAATCAATATTACTTACAGTAGCCCTTATCAACTAAGTGAGAGATCTGTATGGGAGAATTTTAATTGAGGTCATGAGTGTAGCCTGAATGCAGTGAGGTCTGTACTCAAAACTGAGGTCAAGAATCTCCCATACAGACCGACTGAGCTCAGTTAATAAGATGTTTATTGTTTGGCACAAACAAGAGCAATAATTATTTGTTTAATGTAACTGGTTTGTAGTAACTGACATTTTGTTTGCAAATGGCTATGAGCCAAATGTAATTTTGCCAAAGTTTGTTCCTCTTCTTCACTTTTTTATCACCATTGTTAGACTAAAATAGCCAAATGATTTTGGATTTTAGTTTGCAACTTATTTCACTGCAAAGCATTACCGGTCTGAATGCCGGTCTAGATGGGAAAATCTAGACCACTTTCAATATCGATTTCAGCCAATCAAATTCATGAATTTGGTAGTTACCAGTCCTTTTGATACAAAGCCATGTAAATGGAGGATATTTCATCCCCGTGCATGGATATGGATTTTATCTTCGAGTGTTCAACTTGATATCTCACGAGTGAGCACAGGAAACGAGTGAGATATCGAGTTGAACACTGTCTAGAAGATACAATTCATACATGTATCCCCAAGTGGGCATGTAATATTTTGTTTATTTTATAAACACCAGTGAAAAAGGCACGATTTATTATGTAACCATAGTGACTGTGATCTCTTCACATGTGAAGATATAAAGTTTTTGTACGAAGCTCACTTGGTGTTTCACTGGTGTTAATATAATGATATACACTTACGTAATGTATGGTCCCGAGGGAAACAGTTAGTTTTGTTGTCCCGAGAGTCCTGATGTTTCCCGAGACGAAGTCGAGGGAAAACAAAACTAACTAGTTTCCTGAGGGACCATACATTAAGTGTTTTGTTTTATATTTAGACTTTCATATAGCAAAAACAAAGAAACAAAGACAGCATGCAGGCAACAACTGCGCAGTTGTATCCCAGTCGGGATATGTTTGAATTTGATCAGGGGCACGTGACCAAGAATCAGCCAATCACAGCGCTCATTTTGTTGAGTAAAAGTGTAGCTATATAACGATAATGGATATTATATGATAATAATTATTATTCATCAACTGTTCAAAATAATCAGTAAACATTAATGATGATGAATGACTGCAATGATGCTGGCCAGAGACAAATATTGTTATTGATTGTGGTCAATTACGAGAGTGAAACTAGTATATTTACATCTCAGACTGGGAAAGCCAATCCAGAATCAAATGAAAGTGATTGAAAACAGTCCTAATTGAGAGGGGAAATTTCCCTTGATCTTGATAATAGGGCTGTAGCTTACAGTCCTTAACAACATCCACTTAAACAATCTCTTCTGTCACTTTTCTATTATTAATAGTCACTTCTGTACATCAGCCAGGAATTTTTCATCCCAACTACATGTATTTGCAAATCTATTTGTTTACTCTCATTGAAATCTATTAATTGTATGGTGTAGGTTGTAGAGAGGTTTGATTGCCCTCTTGGTGCTAATTCCTATACATCTTTCATTTCAGTTTGTTTACGTAGGTCAGTGCTTTGCACCAACTCCTGATCAGACATTACAGAACTTATATGATGTGAGTAGATCATATTATTTAAGAAATGGAAAACATTTAATTACCATGTTTCTATCAAGCTTTAGTATAAATAGAAAACTTAGGCAAGCAAGTAACTGTCCAAGGAGAGCAAACATAGAGTTGTTGTGCATGTAAGCAAGTCATGAGCTTGTTACTTGCAAAGGTGCTAGTGTGTAAATCAGTCCTAAGAATGTGCATGTTAAAACCTTTTGTGTGTAGAACTCTCTAAAGCCACAAGTCTAGTGGAATGTGTTGATTGTACAAGTGAAAATAATTTATCTTTTCAGTTGATGATTAGAATAAGTGAGTGACTTTACATTATTTCTTCAAAGTATCCTCTAAAAGAAGGAAAGCATGTTTTCTGTTTATGTTTATCTCAAGTGTGGAAACACTTGAGAAATTAAAGTTAATTGGGAACATGTAAAAAAATTATATATGATGAAATTTTTATTTCTTTCATATGTTTGACTTGCAGTGCTTTGGAGCTGATGGAAAGTTAGTTCTTCATTGCTGTAAGACGCAAGCATGGGGATAACAGAAAGTGTATAATTTATACCATAAAAATTCTAGTTGTTAAAGAATCATAACATTATAAATATAATTGTAGTAAATAATGTTTATCATTCTCTAGTTTTGAATTTCAACACTTGACCTCTTTTAGCCTAAACAAACAGCAAAGAAATGTCATTAATTTTCATAACTGTAGGGTTTTTTGTGAAGTAAAGTATACTGTAAATTTTTTTAAATAATGTAGTTTTGTTTAGGTGATGGACCTTCAAGTGAAACTGCACCATATAACTTACTAGCCTTAAGTGCAGGCATATTTTGGGTGTGCGACTGCACATTTTCTTATTAAGGACATTGGCGCAAAAACTTTCTGAAAATTTTCTAAAAATGTTACCATTGACTGGTGGTGAGTTAGTGATGCCAGAAATGTAAAAGAAATGGGGGTCACCAACTTCGTTTTGGAGAGAACATGTGCGGAAGAAAACCGAAATCTGAGTAAATCGGGCTTGGTTGGAAGGCCACAGTGGCTGCAAGTCCCAAAATATTGCAATTAGAGCTTTGAAGGGAAATGTTCTCTGCCAAATATGGTGTAAATGGATTTATTAAGCGAATTTAGTCAACTGGTGAGGCTCCCCAGAGAACAAGTTCGCATTTAGAGACCACAATTTCACGCGCTTTGCAGCCGCATGATGGCAGGATTTGATGTCTCGCTGACAGAAATTGTGAATTTTTTTACCTTCCCACATTGATTTTTTGTTCATTTTTGGACAATGTGGAGATAATTGTAAATAAAATCTGTTTCTGGAAAGAAGAGTAGGGGTCACTGTGCATCCAAGATCGTTAATCCAAGTAAAGCTATAGCACTGGCCATCTGCCCTATCATTGTTTATTTTATTATTTAGCACACGTGCTTGATGCATGACATGGCATGTGAATTTGCGTGCGCAGTAAGGATGCGCAGAAACAATTAGCGCGAACGTCCTTAAGTTTGTAACTGTGGAGGTAGGGGCAAGGGAAAATTTGCTCCAATCTTCTACCAGTCAAGCATCCAATAACAATCTAAGATGGTGGCATAAAAAACCTGGTATGTCGAGCATTCTGGTACAAGAGAATGCCTGCTCTGCATCCAACTACCACCTCACAGCGAGACTTTGATTGTCAGTTGATGTGGTTAAGTCTTCCCTACAATACGTAATGAGGTGAATGTCAAACAATCTGTCAAAATAACAGAGTTCTGAATGTCAGTTGTCTTCTCTTTCACCCGGGAATTGGGCTGAGGGCAGGAGATGATGGACATTTCATGCTACAGAAATATCATTAGTGACAGTTTTTGTGTAAACTGAATAACATGTAAATATTTTAAATAGACCCTTCTCCAAAATGGCAGCCGAAAATTCAAATAAGCGAAAATTAACTAAAATCAAAAACGTATACCAGCACTAGAATGAACATCTTTACTTTAGTAACCCTGCCAATTTTCAGCATTTCAGGTGTAATATCAGCTGAGAAAATTTAAGTTGAAAATTGAGAAATTTATAGACGTTTGTATGACTGGGGGTATAATGCATACCCCGGGTATAATGCATACCCCCAGTCATACAAACGTCTGTACTTTTTTCAATTTTCAACTTACATTTTCTCAGCTGATAATTCACCTGAAATGCTGAAACTTTGCAGGGTTACTAAAGTAAAGGTGTTCTTTCTAGTGCTGGTATACGTTTTTAATATTGACCTATTTGAATTTTCGGCAGCCATTTTGGAGAAGGGTCTATCGGTGTTTTAATGATGTATCATCATTGTCTTTCAAAATAATGACATGAAAAAATAAGGAGACAGGGGGTTGTTAATTTGTAAACTGTACTGTCAAAAGGAGAATTCTCTGGTAACAGCATAGCATAGCATGATTGATTGGTAGTATCAAAATCATGCCTTTTTACAGTTCAGTGGAATGTACTGCTAAAATTTATGAAATGTTGACTTGCAGCACCATTTGACACACACTTTGTTCATACTACAGTTTTATGTTTGCTGCCATCAGTCATCTTAGCAGAACTCCCAGGAAAGAATAATAATAAAAGAAATCTTATTTATGTAATGCAGTTTGTTTGTTTGTTGCTCGTCATTGTAATGATGACCGACAGCAGCCAAAAATGCAATCATAAGTTAGGTTTTGAACTGCAGAGTTTGCACGATATTGTTAATTGCATTGCAGCTGACTATTTACATTCCTTACTATCATGCCTTTGGGCAATAGAAAAAATATACTCTGTAATGATATGGCCATCTGCCATGTCATTGTTCATTTTATTACTTAGCGCGCGCTCATGCATGACGTCTCATACTGCTGTTTTGGGAATGGCTGTCCTACAAAGGCGAAAAAGCATACGCGACAAGGTCGAAAGGTAGTATGGGTAAAGGGTTTAGGTTACTTGACTGAAGCCAGGAGCCCATCACCAGGATCCTGCAACTACCCCATATTCCTGTCACGACGTTTTCACAGACCGATCTATTTTTAGTTTGAATTTATGTCGAATTCAGTTCCCCACAGGAACCTCAGTGACCAATTGCAATCATAAGCACGGACCAATGTTGACATGTCGACAATTTCACATGAAGCCGCATTGTTTTATCCTCACCGAAGCGTGCTCATGTAGACTGGAACTGGCCTATTTCGCGGGAAAAATATCTAAAAATAGACTGGTCTGTAAAAATGCCCTTGCATTGGCTTATTATGGGAGTTGCAGGCTCCTAGTAATGGGCTCCTGCTGAAGCTCATGGTGTTTCAGCGTGACGGAAGAAAACAGCCCAGACATGTGTATTGATGCTGTCTCTCTCCTGAAATACTTAACCTCCATCAAGGAACACTAAACTGTGACTACCCATAATACCAATCGGTAGTGTCGCGTACGCTTTTACATGTACGCTTTTATGCTTGAGTGTGGGACAACCTTTGTCGAAACAGCTGTATGAATTTGCATGCGCAGTAATGATGCTCGGAAAAAATTAGGCCTGTTTTAGAAATCTTTGAGATATATGCTGGCTATCGTGAGTTGGCCAACTTCGCTCTTTTTTTTCTTTTCTGTGTATGAGTTTTGCGTAAGTTAGCGCACAGGCCTCCTAAGCTCAAAATACGTGGTGTATGCGAAAGCTTGTGTATATAGAGAATTCTATGGGGAAATCACCGATCGTAGAAAATTGCATAAATAACTATCTCATTTGAAATAAAGTTTTCCTACCTCAAATATGTCGCGAACTTGTCTCTTGAGCTGATTTTAAGCCATTTTGACGCCGTTTAGTGAAGTTATTTGAAATAGAGAGTTTTCCATTTGAGAATAGCTATCTCGTAAGATATTTGCAATAAAATGTTACCATAAAATTCCGCAGTAAACCCACAGGCCTGTGCTTGGTGACATATCAAAGAAGTTTCGAAACTAGGATTGCTCTATATTTGATGTATGCCAAGCGCTATCAAAACTATCAGGTTCTAGTAAAAACGTTTTACCTAGGGAAATTCCAAACACTCATATATGAGTAAAGAGGGATAGGCTCCTACAGTTTTTGATACTAACAGGAGCCATAATATGTATCCACTGAGCTACGAGAACAAAATAACGGAGCTCAACTTCAGCCGTTACCATCTTATTAGCATTCCTTTCCTCTAAATTAAAGAAAATTTATTAGTTGAAAATAACCAATAGCTGGTCGTTCTCCCTTTCCGATCAATTGGCGCTTGGAGGGAAATATTACCGCAAAGCGTTAATTTCCATATTCTTATGTTTTTCTTTTCGAAGGTATTCGTTCTCACTAAACAAATCACCCCTACTGATGGCTATTTTGTTGTCCAATATCCCACTCATCCGAAGAACCCGTCTGCAGCAACAATGTATGTATTACTCTATTTATTTTTAGAAAACAGTCCTAATAAAATACTCGTGCATGCTAATTGGTTAAAAATCGTGTTTGTATGACACGATGGAGACTCAGAACTAGCGCGCGCTGTTGATGTAATAATGGCGTGAGCAAAGATAATTTACATTTTGATGATCAAAGTTAACAAGCTGTGTTTTTCGTCGCGGAGTTTTCTAAAAGAAATAGGAAACATGTTCTCCGTGTTTCTATCGAGTTATGCAAACACTCGTGAAACTTTGGGAGAACTCGAAAAAAGCTGTGAAAATCTCGAGTCAGCTATCACGCATAGAAATCGAGAGCGAATAATCTAATTGTTTTTAGTATAATTTATAATGGTAATTGAACTGAGAGGAGTGCAATTTGGTCTGAAATCAGACGCATGATTTCAAAATTGAACGAGCGAGCAGCGCGAGTTCGATTTGAAATGACGAGTATGATTTCAGACCAAAATTGCACGACCCGAAGTTCAATTACCACTTAATTAGATCCATTTAGAAATCGCACAATTTAACAGCCTAAATACAAGAATTACAAGATTTTGGTACTGTCCTGATAATTAAATTCATCCATTTTCAACTTAATGAAGTTTTCGCAACAAAAGTTGCCAAATTTGCTAAACAATGACTTTTGTCTTTTATTTTCCTGTAATGTGATTGGTAAGTTTTAAAAAAAGCCTTGAAATCTGATTGGTTGTTTTGTTTTTCTGTGCCATTCTCATTAGCTGAGAAAAAAGATGCGATTTAGAGCAAAAGATAGTGCGATTTGGGAATAAATCGCACCGCTGAGAGCCAAGCACATTGCAAGGATAACCAATGATTTCAAAATGGATGTAATAAATATAATAACCAAATCAATGCGCGCGCTCTGATTGGTCAATCAGCTGTGGGTTATTGTGCCGGCAAACCCATGGAAAAATCGCGCGTCTTCTGAATTATTATATGAAAGTAATGGACCACAAGTTTTCTATGGGTTATAGGCTGATAAACCACTTGGGATGTTAGTAGAACACTCGAAGAATTCGTAAACCACTCGCCTCGTGGTTTACAAATTCTTCTCGTGTTCTACCAACATCCCGCGTGGTTTATCAGCTTATAAATCATAGAAACTTGTGGTTTATTGCTTAAACATAAATTTATAAATCTACTAGTCGTTCAAATCTTTATTTAAAGCCTCGAACATGACAAGAAGCGGCCTCTAGCGCTCACAGCTACGCTACTCACTATCTATCACAGAATAAATAGTGAGTAGCGTAGCCAATCAGAGAATGCCATTCGTGATAGAACGCTAGAAACACGGTACATACAGTTTTCCATTTGTAGTAAATATCGATAGTAATCCGCGCAGTCGCTTTGCAAATAAAATGTGATTACTATTTTCCATCATTCCACAAATCGAACAAGGTTTCGAAGTTAGTAGCGAAAAAAGTCTACACAAGGCTTTTCAGAGCAATTTTATTTCTCTTAAGACATATTAAAGCGACATTCTTCTGTCTTTTTATGTCATTCTAATAAAAGCTCTTTATTCAACTGGCTCAAATTTGAACCAGGGGTACTCATTATCAGAAGCACTTGGAGGATACTCTCCAATACACCAATGCAGCTCATTCGTAATAGGAGGACAGGTACATCGAAACGGTTGTGGAACCCAACGATCAAAGGTGGTTCCCACATATCCCCCCGACGCCCTGAAAGCCAAACAGATGTCTTGCCCTTGCCATCCGGGGCGATCAAAATTGTCATTTTTGGCTTTAAGTTTGAAAAATGTGTGCAGTTTGTTCTCGCCCGATCTCTGATGGCTCAAGTATTCGAATGTGAACTTCTTGTTGTTGTAGCTTGAACTACAGGGTAGGACCTTATAGCCATAGTCGCTGAATGATGCTCCACGAGTCTCCTCCGGTTCGATCAGGAAAAGACATTTGTTTTGGTCATTCCTTGGCCGCAGTGTGTTATCAGCTTTGAGTTTCCATTGTTGGTTTTGCGCCGTAGTTGAACAAGATCGTGCTTCAGGCTCTGCCTCTCCAGATGAAGTCTCGTAAGTCAGACACCTGTTTTGAAGGAATGTAATGGGAGGGTAAAACAAACGGTAACTTATGTGAAGAAGAAGAATAACATATCACTAGTGTAAGTTGTAATCTTCTTTCGCGATTATTATCTCCTCCATCATTTTATTTTTGGTAACATTTTTACCTCATCAAATAGTTTTTAATATAATCAGTTGCCTTTCTAAAGCAAAAATCATCTCAAACAATTACCAGAAAAACACTGGAAAGAAAACAGTGGCCCAGTGCATGATTAAAATCAGGTAGGATACTCACCCGATACAGGGTATGACCCCATTCAAACCATGAAGTAATTGAAATAAAGCAAACAAGAATATTTTCAAAACTTCATAAAGCTCTGTACATCCTAACAAACCTGTCATAAGTCTCTCGACTTGAGCTGTTATGATGTGAATGCGACCAGCGAATTCTTCCAAATGCAGGTATACCTAGAAAAGAGATAACAACGATTTAGAGGCTAAGTTAAACAAACTGTCATGAAAAACAAACAAACAGTAGAGTGTTTTCACTCACGTGTGTTGATATACAAGACAATAGCAAAACATCGAACAAGTTTTGCATAATAATAGAGTCAAATTACCAAAGGACAATTTCGCTATTGTTCAAGCGAAAACACTCTATGCACCTTATTCCAAAATGGCCGCCAATTTAGTATTATTTTGTTTACTTGCAAATTAGCCCTTGTTGCCTCGTTTAAAGGAAAATATTCTTTTGAATTTCGAGTTTAAGAACGAGGCAACAAGGTGTTAATTTGCAAGTAAACAAAAGCATACTAAAATGGTGGCCATTTTGGAATAAAGTTTATTATGGAGTATTTTCAAGTTGGAACGGCAGCCATGTCCAAACTAATCCTCCGGGAATTGAACTCTATTCTTTTGCAGACTTTTCTATTTGTTTAGGTTGAAAAACATGCTCATTGATCACGTGAGTGAAAACTCTATAAAAGTATGGGTGAAGTAGCGTATATGGGGCAGAGATCAACAGCGTGCTCATGAGAGTGAATATGCTGCATCACTGTAATTTTCTGTTTAAACTCCAGTGCAATTCCTCAATAATCGCCCTTTTATTTCTGGGATTTGTTTCTCCGTTACTACTTTCAAAATAAGTAGGAACAAAGCCATCAAAATCGCGACAACACTTTTTTTAATGAACGATAATTTTTCTGCTTTAATACTGGAGATTATATACAAAGGACAAGTAGCTGAACTGTGGGCAGAAGAACGTATAGAACGACTCCATCGCTGTTATAAAAGCTTCTAACCCTAAGGAGAGCCTTAAAAAAAACTAACTAGGCTTGAACTAGTGTTCAGCCTATGACCTCTGCGATGCTAATGCAGTGTTTCACTAATTGAGTTATCAAGCCAACTGGGAGCTGGTCAGTCCTTTTTTGAGTTTGTAATGAACCTGTAGATGATCGCAGAGGTCATGGGTTCGAATTCTGTTCAAGTCTGGATTTTTTCCAGGCTCTCCTTAGGTTACTGCTTATGAACGCCAAACTTTACTCAAGCCAGGACCAGATTGTCTCCTTTAGGGGTCACAAAAAGCTTGAGCCACGCCCAGATGGTCTCCGTTAGGGGTTGAATTCAAATTTCCTTGCTTTAATGTGATTGGACATGACCTTTCATGTCACGTTGCGTGACGGCTCAAGTTTCAGTAAACTCACAAATTCATGTTAGGCCATCCCCATAAAATGTTTCGTTTCCCATCGCCCGATCGACCGACCCATTTTTGTGGAAAAGTAAAAAAAGAAAAATCAGAATCACTTGTAAAGAAGCAAGTACTTTAGTTTACAAGCACACGATCTTGTCTTATTAACACCAATTGTCTTAAATTACCATGGATACTTCGTTTTTGTAGCTTTTTTAGACATTTGGTAGTCCTGTTTCTGTTACCTCATCTGATTACGACCGAAAGGACCACGTAACCAAGCTTTCGTACTTAGCAGCCTGGCCTTCGCTGGCACTCAGAACCCTTCATGTGTTTATTTTTATTTTTTTGCCCGACCGACCGACCCACCTTCACGAGAGGGAGGGCGATGGGAAACGAAACATTTTATTGGGATGGCCTTATTAAAATGTCTCATTTTCACTTTTACTGGTAACGTTTTTAAAGCATAAAGGCTAATTTTTGAAAAGGTTTCCTGGGTCTCATAAACCAAGTTGTAGCATTTGTTACGTTCTTTTCTTACTCAAGAAAAATATATTTGGGCTCTGTTGTTGTTTCACAAAAGCCCTTTGAAACTTAACTAGCTGGAAAAATCGTAATTCTCTTTTAAAAAGCTACACCAACCCCTATTATACCGTTTTATTTCAAATCGTGTTATCAGTATTCCCTTCAAGCTCTGACGCCAGCACCCACTTTCACATTGAAACTCCTAGTTAAGTTATGAAGGAACGACTTAACTGTTTCAGATGCTCATATTACACTTAATCAAGAATCCTCTATCAGAATAAGTAAATATATAAATATTTTCTAAGTGCTCAAAGGAGGCATTTTTTAAAACCGACCAACCTTGATGATCTACCATTCTCGACATGGCCTTGGCAATGGCAGGGTCTTCACATGTCTTAGTCTGTTCCATCCGGGTGTTAATTTTTCTTACTTCTATGTTCTTCCGCGCCGTGTCGTCCTTGTACTTTTTCTTAACAAAATTCATTCGCACGGCATATCCATTGGCCTCTAAAAGGCGAACCCGAGATATAAATTCCATCAGGCTTTCCACGCTGCCTGTGGATTGCTGTCCGTGTTTCCAGGCATAAGCTTCATACAAACTTGTTTGGGTAAGCAAAGGTTTTCCGCAAACTTGCAAGCGCAGGCTGCCAAGAGCGTCCTCAAGATGGTCGTCTCTGGCGTCAATCTGACAACCAAAGAGAATAAGTGAATAAAAACCAAAGTTTCTCTAACATACAAATGCAATAATTGATTCCAAGATCATCAGGCTTAAATGCTTTTGGCAGAATTGCTAACAGAAAAGATATTTGTATAACAAGCACCATTGCTTCAAAGCGTGAACATTACGATTGACACAAAATGGGGGTGGCCTTTTCTTTATTGCTGCCGCAGCGAGTGAGCCTAAAGCGAACGAGCGAGGCAGCTCTTTAATCAGCAGAAGATTACATTATAGGGGCTTGCAATCACTTTTTCTTACTAAACGCAAGAGATTGTGGTTAGTGGAAGATTTAGGATGAGTAGTGGTATGCCGCAAGGAATTGTGGTTATGCGCGAATGGGAAGATTTAGGATGCGCAGCATATCAAAGTCACGTTTAACAAAAGGTCATGAAATTTATCTGCATCACGTCGAGTAACGTAAACTCCTTTAAAATTATGAAGTTTTTGAACATTTTGCCTTCGTTTGCACAGTAAAACATAGAAAATGGAAAGAGGTCACATAGAGTAGGGAAGTTTAACATATTGAGCGTCAAGGCAATCCTGTTTCAGGGCAATCAGAAAAATATTAGGGTCGGCTTTTCGTGTGGGAATAATGCCGATTCTGGTTTGTTCTGGGAGACTAAAAGCGCAATTTCTCGTCACGCACAGATGTTTTCCTAAAAAGCCAATTGTTTTCGAAATCTACGTTGAATTTGGCGCGTTTTGATACCAAATTTTTCGCCGTTCGAAAAATTTTTCTTTCGGCCTTATGGCAGGGAAGTTTGGGAAGTGCGGTTTAAAAGTTCTCTTTGTATCCTGCGCTTTCATTTGCCGTGTTACAGAAGCGCTGGACCATGAAAGCACGAATGAAGATTTCAATGGTTGTAGCCGTGACAATAAACCAGTGTTCATTGAGGAAATCAACGAGTAAGGCCCAAGTATTTAAAACCGTAAAATTTTCGATTGATTTCATTCAAAGATCTCCAAAACCGGTCATTTAAGTAATTTTATTTTGTTTCTTTATTTATTCTGATTTATTTAGCTATCTGATCTACTCTTTATCAAAAAAAGAGCTGAAGGGGAAGACGAAATTTACGATTCTCTCTGTCAAGACTGTAAAGCTGGCCATGGAAAATGTTCATTCTTTGTTCTAAAGAGTCCTCATCGGGGACATACACCTTTTGAAGCCGCTCAAAAGGAAAATTGTCCTCATCGTAATCACTCCACTTATCTGTGTCGTGACCATGGCCTTTAAAGTCTTTTATTATACATCAGACTCACTATGAAAAATCAGATTGGTCGAGAGCATTCAATCAATTCACAATAGCTTCTGAACTTGACATGATAAATGCAATATCTGCTGAAGATATTGCATTTATCATGTCAAGTTCAAACATCTGCCTGGTTACTAAGCCCCTTGGAGTGTTCTCCTTTGAAAAAAAATGGCTGAACTCTTCGCTTCTGTTTCTGAGGATGAATTATGTGAAAAATGTATAATAAAACAATTATTGAATTCGGGTTTCGCCTGACATCACGAATTATCAAAACCTCGTGTCTCATCCAATCAATTCTGGAATTGATGGATCACTGTTCAGTTCATAGGGTTATTGCTAGCATACTTTATATTGTTTTCCCCTTCGGCAGCATTATTACCATTTATGTATACTAGTTTAATGTATAGTGTTAGTTTCGTTGATGTGTGTTTGTTAATTTGTAGATGCTGGATAAATGAATAATATAATCTTACGGGCTTGGTATTCCATACCGGCTATCTATCTATGCCACATGCAAAGATCTAGATATATTTCACCTTTTGAACTGAATCAAACTATGCTAAACGTTGGTGAGATGGCCACGTAATGATCCCTTTTCTTACAGAGCACCCTAATAAAAGCTGGATATCTTTACTTTTGATGCCAGCCTAATGGCTACTGTCTGGATAAAATCCCAAACTTGTCTAAAAGCCAAGGGTACCCTGAGAGACGCTCTTGTACCCGGGAGAGTCAAGCCGTCGCCACATCACCTAGGAGTTTGAAAGCCTGAATTATTGTTACTGGAGTTATGAAGCCAGAGAAAGTGCGAGACGGCCATTCTCAAAATTTTTCCTCCCGCTATAATCACCTAGCCAGAGGTGATTATAGCGGAATATGACGTCATTCTTGGCCAATGAGAGCGAAGATTTCTATAATCACCTGAGTAATTATGCTAATAGTAGATAGTTCTAGTTAGGTGTCTCCTTTCTCCACTGCTAGATGTACTTAACACAATAACAAAGTCATCATCATTATTGTTATTATCCTTATCATTATCATTGTCATATTGTCTCGCCATTTGTAACCACTAATCATAGGACAAGATACCCAAATCGGTTTTTGCTTGCCATCAGATTAAATTTCGGATTTGTTTCCCGGTGTATAACATAGAGATGGCTGCTGATAAAGGAGTGAAAGCGTATGAGAGTAATCGAAAATGTCAGGAAACGTTAATTCACCATGTATCGAGCCCTGAACAGGTAAAAGGTTAAGCTAGATGTTTATGTGAATGTTTGCAGGTTCAGCGGAGGAAGCCGGCCAAAGTGAGTTACAGATGTTTCTACTGACCATTGAGAGACACCAACGTGGGGCCCTAACACTTAACTTTAAAGTTTGGCGTGGTGCATTTAAAAATATCAAAACCTCCGGTATGGGATATTGCGAATCCCTAACACTGTTTTTTATATATTGTTTACTCGTCTACCACAACTCAATTTCTTAACGTTTTTTCAAAAACTCATTATAACTCAGTTCAGCATGGAAAAACAAACAAAATCAGTGTTTAATGGGTGTCTTTATATCTGATAAACAAACGATTTTCTAGATCTTGGCCAAAAATAACCCAAAATCTAAAAAAGTGCGAGAATGGATAGATCACTGATAGATGTACGGTAAGGCTTTTGAAGCCGTTCAATAAATTCGCAAGTCGTTTTTCTCAAGTCTCAAAGCACTCGGCTACAACTCGTGTTTTAAACTTGATAAAACACTCCGGCTCATTTATTAAATATTACTTACTGAATGCTAGGCGATTTTTATACTTTGCGTTACTCCCAATAATCCAATAGGAGTTTTATATGCGAACTATAGGAAATATAGAGCCGGGGCTTGGATGTATATATGTTAGACGAAATAGGGGTTTTCCCCTGAATAGTCAGAATAAGAAACAAACTCACACTCTCGAACCAACTGTCTTCACTAGCAGCCATTTCTTCGCTATTTCTCTCTCCTGCAGGTAGTTCTTTGTAACGCTTTACCTCTGCTAAGTATTCTCTTTGATAACCATCAATAAGCTGTAATTTTTCCACGTCGTTGGCCACAATATTCAACACATCTGTGTATTCACCCCCAGCAAGAAGGCTTTTGAAACCGTCTATGGAAAAGATTGCATATTGACTACGTTGAGTATATAGAAGGTTTCACGGTCGCCGACGCCATCTTGGTTGTGGGGCAAACATTGAATGTATGGGAAAAACAGTCGTGATTTTGGTCCTCGATAACTTGGGGAAGGTTGACATTCTGCAATTTCTATGAATTACAAAACTGAAAATATTACTTAAAAGAGGTAATCAATCAAATTTGAGAATTGTACTCTTACAAAGAAAATCGCAAATTTAAATTTTATTTTTCATATATTTGTCTGTAAAATGGAGCCGCCGTTCGCGGGAAAATTGAGAAGCATTTGTATGAATAACTAAAAGAGCGAATTCTCGCTTCTCAGCGAACCGGTACCCTTCAAATTTAATCGGCTAACACTCTTAGCTAAGATCTTTAGTTTCCACAGAAATTTCAGAATATCAACCTTGCCCAAGCTATTGAGAATCAAAATCCGGCAGGATTTTTTCCATACATTTACTGTAAATTTTTGCCGCGTTTGCCCCACATCCAAGATGACGTCGGCGACCTTCGTTGAAACCTTCTAGAGTCATCAGTGAAATATTGCGTGCGCGCGCGCGTGTGTGTGTGTAGTGAGTTAAAGTGAGGTAGTAAGGTAGTAAGTGAGAATAGTGTGTGGTAAAATTGTATGTAAAACTGAAAATCAGCAAATATCATTAAAATACAAAAAAAACCAATGAAATATATTTCTGTGGTTACAGTATTAAAATCGACGGTCAAAAAAACGTTTAGCAGGAAAACAATTAATGCTTAGAGGGAAAATGACGAAACTTAATTATAACCAATTACCGACCCAAACGATGCTAGAATAAGACGCTTTAATATATCCTTCTACCAATATCCGACCTACCGAAAGGTAGACTCGATCCGTAAAGGAGACTGACTGCGACCGATAACAAAATTCAGGCATTGTATACCAAACATATAATGATGGATTTTTCATTTCCTCTAATTTTTCTCTACGAGAAGCTGATCCGTTATAAATTATAAACATCAAACATTCTGAGTTCAATCTTACTCTCCACGTCAGTCGCTAAACCATCCAACCTTGTCTTTAACTCATTGATCTCTGCAACATTAACTTCACTTTCACTCTCTGTTCCTCCTGATCCCATAAAGCGGTCGATGTTGTCAAACCAGCCGACCACGTTATTGACCCTCCCCATAAAGTCGGCAAGATCGTTAAAAAGGGTGAAGGCTGCGATGATTCCGCCAATAAAACGCTTGTGTCCGACCTGGAAAAAAAAGAGAGAATGGATTAGAAGGAGGGAAAAAAAGAAAAAAGTTCTTAAGGAAAGGGGCAAGCAAGAGAAAGGAAGATAGAAAGAAAGAAAATAAGGAAGCGCCACTGAGCAGAAGAAGGCGGACAAGCGATTTTCGGTCTTTATGTCTTAGCTTAATCCCTTCACTCCCAAGACAGATTTTAATCTGAGAATAATTCGTATTCCGGCCCAAGTTGTAAGCCGAAAGGGATGTATTACGATATTTAACTGCTCGAATCTCATTTTTTTATTGACAAGGGAGCTCCAACCAATCGAGCTTTATCGCCATGAGACATATGTTTACGTCATTCCAGGATTGTTTTGTTGGATTGTTAAAATCATAAGCAATAACCCAGGAAACTGCCTGACCCAATCCCATTAATTGGTGTGCTTACTTCTACAACTGATTTTCCCGACTCCACTTCACTAATCCCGTATACCTATTTAAAGAGGTGAATAAGTAAAACGGAGATTTATTCAGGGGAAGCCGAAGTTAAAAAAGGTAGCCGCGTTCCGAGATTTGCCGTTTTTCAGAAAATGCTCTTCCTGTGAGAGTTCTATCGAGATCCTGGCAGAGAAATTAGATTGACGATTGTAAGGGAAAGTTCATTTAATATGACAAGGAGGGGATGAAGATATTGAGGGAGGGAGGGGCGAAAATTTTTAGACAGCTGAAAGAGGGGCTTTGAAAAAATTGTTGAACTAAGAGAAGGGCCCCGAAAATTTGTATACTTCAAAACCAACAGGATGGGGAGGGCTTCTAAAATATTGAACTGCTAGCGAGGAGGCCTGCTAAAATTTTAAGCTTCGAGTTCCAATATCTTCATCCCCCTCTCTTGTCATATTAAATGAACTTTCCCTAAGGGGTTAATTAATTGTTAGTTCCTTTTTAACGATAGCAATTGACTGCGTTACTAATATTTTTCCTTTAAGGGTGTTAATGTTAAAAACTGTTAAGCATTTCAGTGAATGTGCAAATTGTGTCCATTATTACAGAAAATAAATGTAAACCATATAGAAGTAATTGTTTGATAAAAGTGTAAATATAGGTGTTTTTGGAATGAAGTTAGTGTCTGTGATGGTGTTGATGAAGTGTCAAGAGAAAAGACCAATCTGTTACCTTTTCATGATGAATGGTCAAATTAGCGATTCCGGCTTCTTGCAACCTTTTTTTCAAATTGTCATGGCTTTTTTCATGGCGCCCATGGCCTGGATGCGATTCACAACCTAAAACAATTACAGCCAACAGCAACACGGGCAAACACAACGTCTTCATTGTCGAACCCCAATCTTCAACTGAACGCAATCACGGATGTCAACTGCAAATCGTGTCACATTTGTTTTTCACTCTCCCAATTAATTTGTAATGTTTGACCTTAACACTAGTCTTTTGTCTGGTACCGGCTGTGTTTTTTGTGTCTTCCACGCTTGCTTGCTTGGGGCTGGTGGGATATACTAATTTACCCGATATTTACCCCATGAAGTACCAATATATCTTAAAATTGTAAAAGGTGTGATTCCGTGAATTACCTAAAATTAACTCGAAGCAAAATACATTATACCCGAACTGTGACAAAAAATACCTTATACCTGAGTTAAAACTGCTCGAGATACCGTTTACCCAAGTCCCTTAGCCTAGCCTTATCGGATTTCTTTTAACACTGCAGCTTCAAACTTAGCAAAAGTCAGTATTTGTCTCTTGGCTAGGATTCACCTGTTGTTGCTGTTTAGCCGAAGGAAAAAAAAAGTGGAAAATTCAAAAGCGTTTGCTGACTTAGATTTTCGAATCCCCTCCTCCCTTCTCGTTACTCCCGTGTGTAATATGAGTAGTCATCAAAAAATGGTGAAAGTGTCCCGATTTATCTTCTCATGAGATCTCGTTGTGAAAGTCATATGAACAGAAACTTCACGTTTTAATAGTGATTGTCAGTAAAAATCAAAGAAATCGTGGCCACGGTCAAAAAATCGATTTCGCTCATACTTTGTCAGTTTGAAGGCCTAGGTAAGTAACTGAAGGATATGAGGTTAGTTTTTTGAAATATTCCATATAACGGCAGAAAACCACGAAAAACGGTCACCCTACCGGAAGCTCGGATTTCACCTAGCGGAAACTCGAAATTTTACACTTTTCAGCTTCTCGCTACACAGACGTTTACATAGCTGTGAATCTTTCTTAAGTATAATTGAATACATTGATTCTCCCTTAGTCAAACCATGGGAATTATTTTTATCTCTGCTTATTTGTGAGCGAACTGAGACCCGATTAAGAAGACACACTTTTCTCATTTACGCGAAGGTGTAAAATAATCCAAACTCAGCGACGAAAAAAGCTGACCGGTAGTTCTTCAAATCTTCTGATATTATAACCAAAGACAGTTCAGTCATTGATTTTTGGGTCTGTGGTTTTAAATCTTTAGGATCTAGTAGCACTTTTGCATGAACGCCGATCAAAATTCGATAAAATTCCAATTGAACGCCAATTGGTTTTACTTTCTTAGCGGTTTGAACCTTTTAAAAATATATATTGATGTTAAATATTGTCTACACAGGTAAAACAAACTATGAAACACCAAAATTACCACGAGCTGAAATTAAATCTCACATGCCCGCTCCCTAATCTGTGTCACGTACGAGCGACTTCGCTACAATTAGTACAGTAACAAACAGATATTTACATCTGTTAATTTACAATAAGTCTTATTTTAAAGTATGTTACTCAACGATGTGCCAGGTTCCCCAGTTAACTTGCTGAAGTAAAAATAAAAGAAAATATTATAATAGCAATTCAAACTGAAACGATAAGAATTGATTTTATTAAGAATGAGAAGCTTTATACCGTCGATAGCCAATCAGAAGTACCTGTTCTCACGAAAATTGCATCGTTCTTTAAATAAATAAATCCAATTATCTTTATCTGTGAAACATTGCATCTAAAACCAGAGTTTACTGTCGGGGAACTTCATAGAACAGCGATGTCTTGCTCGTTCTTGAATATTGTTGGTGGGATTTGCGGCGCAGACGAACGCACAAGTTCTTCAACTTCTGTCACGCCTCTCACGCGGTGTAACAGGGATATCAAAATTCACAAAAAGTCGTTGAAATTTTCCGGAATTGAAATGGAGGTAGAATTAATTTTGGCGAGATGTGGATGTTTTCAAAAGCCGGCGAATTTATCGGATATGACTATCTGTCCGGTTCATCGTGCCAAGTTAGGTTTAGGTTAGCGAAGGACGGGTAATCTTTGCACCATCCTGGAAGTTGTTTCTGGTCACTGCAAGGAGCTGAGGAAGGCACCCGCACTGGAAAAAGGAATAAATTTAATCCAATCCATGAAGATATTTGAGCTTTCAAAACAGCTCGTCCCTGTGGGCTAAGGTAAGCAACCAACTACTTGATGTTCTACCAAACATAAACTGTCTCCAATGAATTATTTATTATGGCCATATTGGAGTGATGCAACGACCGTAACTGTGCTATTAAACGTAAATATAAATGTTGATGTGACGTTTCCACTGGTATACTGTGCAAACTGTGCACTTTGTGGGTGGTTGGGGAGAGAGAGTAGTATGGTTGTTAAATCCTTTCCCCCACCCCCTTCCCTCCTTTTTAAATGTCGTAAAAATGACAGTGCACATTATTTATTCTTCGGTGCCCTCTTTGGAAAATTCTTAGTATTTTTCATCGAATATTGTCAAAATTAAACTTTATTTTCTCTATCAATGACAGACTGTAGTGTTGTTTGACAAGCGCAATCAATAAAACATGCAAGTCGTAAAACTCATAGTGTTTTTAATAGTCGCATTGGACAACAGAATGAAGAGGATACAAAACTCATTGGAGACAGCTCCTGCTTGGTAGTACATTTTTTAGTTGTTATTTACCTGAGCCCATAGGGACGAGCTATTTTGAAAGGTCAAATATCTTCATGGATTGGAAAAAATATATTCCTATTCCAGTGCGGCTACTTTTCACAGCTCTTGCTGAGTGACCCGAAACAACTTCCTGTATGGTGCAAAAATTAATACTTTTGAACATGATGTATTACTCAGTAAGTGACACAGGCATAATCGGAAAAAAAATCCGAGTGCTTCATGGGACAAACATCCTGCATACTGCTAGGATTGGAATGTCATGTGTGGCATACGCGCAATGGAATAAATGTGATATTTTTAAGCCTGGTGAATAAATGAGAATGATGTATTATTCAGTAAGTGACACAGGCGTACTCGGAAAAAAAGAAATCCGAGTGCTTGAAGATTTTAGATATATGAAAATTCACATATTTGCACTGCGGTGGAAAGATGAAATTAGAAGATCCTCGCAGCTAAGAACACTACTGAAACTAGTAATTGTAAGTAGGACCTGAAAAAAAAAAAACAAAAAAATTTCAGGCCAGTACGGGATTTGAACCCATGACCTCTGCAATACCGGTGCAGCGCTCTACCAATTGAGCTAACAAGCCAACTGGGAACTAATCAATGAATTGGGTAGAAATAAACATCCGAGTGAATGAAGATTTTAGATATATGAAAATTCACATATTTGCACTGCGGTGGAAAGATGAAATTAGAAGATCCTCGCAGCTAAGAACACTACTGAAACTAGTAGTTGTAAGTAGGACCTGAAAAAAATTTCAGGCCCGTACGGGATTTGAACCCATGACCTCTGCGATACCGGTGCAGCGCTCTACCAATTGAGCTAACAAGCCAACTGGGAGCTGGTTAATGAATTGGGTACAAATCCGAGTGCTCTCGGCCATCAGGAGTCGAAACTATCGACATCGTGTCAGGTTATGCCTAAGTGACACGATGAGACGGTACGGGTAGTCATCTCCAATAAACTCGTTGGCTTTTAAAAACACGCAATCTTGCTAAAATCAATTCTGGTTCAAGTCCGGAGAGTTTTTTAAGACTTCGTGCGATGTTTTATATCCTTGTTGCACAGCGTGAGAAGTGTGACGAAAGCTGAGTAAGGGTAGAAATTAGCCATTGGAAGTTACTTAGCAAGTGCGTTCGTCTGCGCCGCAAATCCCACCGACAATATTCAAGAACGAGCAAGACGTCGTTGTTATGTATGTCTATTAACTTCGCCAACAACATACTCTGGTTATATGGTTAAGTAGATTTGTTTATTTAGAGAACGATGCAATATTTGCTTTTCGTGGAACAGTTACTTCCGATTGGTTTTCGACGGCACAAAACTTCTCATACTAAATAAAATCAATTATTATTGAGCTAGAATTACTATTAAGGTTTTCTTTTTTTTTCAGCAAGTTAACTGGGAAACCTGGCACATCTTTGAGTAAGATATTTTAAAAATACGACTTATTAAAAATCAACGGATGTAAATATCTGTTTGTTACTGTACTAATTGTAGCTAAGTCGCTCGTGCGTGACGCAGATTAGGGAGCGAGCCTGTGAGATTTAATTTCAGCTCGTGGTAATTTTGGTGTTTCATAGTTTGTTTTACCTGTGTAGACAATATTTAACATTAAAATATATATTTTTAAAACGCTTCAAACCGCTAAAAAAGCAAAACCCTTATGTTTTATGTACAAACTTTGGCCGAGGAGTTAATTTATTCAATAGTGCTTTGTTATGTAGAGTTGTAGATTTCAAAGGCGCTCAATTGGAATTTTATCGAATTTTGATCGGCGTTCATGCAAAAGTGCTACTAGATCCTAAAGATTTAAAACCATAGACCTAAAAATCAATGACTGAACTGTCTTTGGTTATAATATCAGAGGATTTGAAGAACTACCGGTCAGCTTTTTTCGTCGCTGAGTTTGGATTATTTTACACCTTCGCGTAAATGAGAAAAGTGTGTCTTCTTAATCGGGTCTCAGTTCGCTCACAAATAAGCAGAGATAAAAATAATTCCCATGGTTTGACTAAGGAAGAATCAATGAATTCAATTATACTTAAGAAAGATTTACAGCTATGTAAACGTCTGTGTAGCGAGAAGCTGAAAAGTGTAAAATTTCGAGTTTCCGCTGGGTGAAATCCGACCTTCAGGTAGGGTGACCGTTTTTCGTGGTTTTCTGCCGTTATATGGAATATTTCAAAACACTAACCTCATATCCTTCAGTTACTTACCTAGGCCTTCAAACTGACAAAGTATGAGCGCAATCGATTTTTTGACCGTGGCCACGTTTTTTTAATTTTCCTTGATTTTTACTGACATTTACTCTTAAGAGAGTGTCTCTGTAAGAGCGGTCCGGTCGATTTTGCTTGAGACACGGATTTTGCTCGTTTCTCGTGTTTTGTAAGACATTCA